TGAAGGAGAGAGGGATTAGCCGGTCAGACAGAACCAGTCACTCAAGTACTCTCATCACATATACGCTACAATATGGCTTTATTCCATTTTAAATCTTATGTCAACAGCAGCTTTTCCAGGCTTTGCCGATATTTAGTTTCAAACACACTGCTCAAACAACATCAGTAAAAACTGTTCATGTGACTGTCATCTGTTTTGTGTCACATAAAAACCAGGAAACGTGACCCATGTATGAGTGAGATGTGACCCGGTGACCTCGCCGCTAACCTACAGTGTCACAACCATAGGAAAGACAAAGCTGGACGCTCTGATTGGTCCTGCAGGACACAAACAGAACGAGGGGCTGGTCAAAGCAGGGAGTGGGAAATTCCCAGAGACGAAGGGATACACAAACACAGACAGAGACCCACACACACGCACACCCACACAGATCATTTCCACAGACACTTTAACTGTGAGCAGCAGAAATGTCTGATCATTCATGCAGTGCAGGCATCAAACTAAATATCATAATAAATTCATTTTATTAGGGTGAGGATGAGTTTTATTGCCATGTAATGCAGATCCATAAGTCATAAAACAGCAGAATGTGGCCTAGCTGTGGCTGTGTGTCTGGATTTGTGTGTCAGTGTGGTGGTTGAAGCAGGCAGGAGGAATGTCCCCATTCATGGCTTGTATGGGCAGATTAGGGGGTTTTATAACAGAAAAGACCTGAATAAGCTCACATTCAGCCGTGTGTGTGTGTGTGTGTGTGTGTGTGTGTGTGTGTGTGTGTGAGGGACCACAGGCATATGTGTCACTGGGTGTGCCAATATTGTTCAACCATTACTGTCCTTTCACTACAAACCACAAAAATGTATTATCTCAGTGTGAATATACTGAGTAATAATCTTGGCCTATACCTAACAATTCATTTTATTGTTGATTCATTTTAGTTCACTGTTTTTAAGTAATCATTCTGTCTGTAAGAGGCCAGGAAAAAATGCCTGACACAAATTGAGACTCCAAGGTGGCATCATCGTTATCTAACAACAGTCAACAATTTTAATATAACCCCTGGTTGTATGGTGGGGGCCATTTTTGCTTGTTCTCACAGATGTTATGTTGACTGAGGTGGGTTCTGGCTGGAAATGTAACAAAATCTAACAAATCTCTTAGTGGATTTTTTTATTTCCTTTGTCTTTATTAACAAGTAAAACTTTAACAAACAAGGAATCTGTCTGGTGAACATAAAACTTTAGTTTTATGACTGTCAACCTCTGATTTTGAATTCTTAACTATTTTTTATGTATAATCTATAACTTTTGTTTTCTAAAATATTTATATATAATAGTTAAAACAGAATCAATGTTATAATGGATTTGAAAGTATCCCAAACTGTCTCTGCTAGGTGAGTTGGGTATAAAAGGGCAGAGCCTAAGGCAGATACTCAGGAACTTAGTTGATAGGTGCAGTGAGTGGCTCTGGAGCAGACGACAAGGTGTGTGAATGGGGTGAAAATGGGTAAGTCATTTAAAAAAACGGCAACATACAGTCTGTGAGGATTATGCCTGTTAAGATGAAGTAGACTAGCAATGAAGGACAGGCTCAGTAAAAGTGTTGGATACATGCAGCAGGTTTGAGGCCTACTTCCTGGTGTTAGCATGAGTAAGCTAACATGAAATTGCAAATGAAATATTTGCTAGTGCAAGTGAGTGTTTGGTAACAGATAGTCTGAATTAGCCTGAGTAGATGGAGGGTTGTGTTGGGTGTGGGGGTGCAGGAACACAGTGCTGAGCTTTCTTTGAGTTGTGGGCCCAATTCAGTGAAACACTAGTTAGTGAGAAGGTGCCACCTGATGACCCTGTAGACTTGCCTTCACTCCCACATCCACATAGAACTCGTATTGGTGTTGGTGATAATATAGCTACAGACTCACTGGAATTGTCAACAGATTTCTTTTGTTACACAATCTTGGTAGAACAGTGGTCGGTGTGAGTGGGTGGACAGCTGAGCGGACCCAGCTCTCAGAGGTGACTGCCATTACAAGCCAGCTGGACCAGCCGCTGCATAACCTGAGCAAAGGCAATGCAGATGCTGTGTCAAGCCACTTAGCTTGGTGATGATAGGGATCTGGGCTGCTATGTGTTAAGGAAGGCTAGATCTGGAAGTGGTGTTGCTTATTGTGGGGCTCTAAAGATTTATGTTGGCATGGCCTGACACCCCCCTCTTTGGGGGCAAAAATGGGTAAACATCATTTAACTACATTCATTTTACTCCATATGAATGCTTTCATATTCTTTGGCACATTTAATTGTGTATTACTGACTGTTTGGCCATTTGGATGCAGTGCAACAAGCTGTAAACACAGCATCTGACATGTAATCCCTTATAAAGTTCATATGGGAAGTGATTTAGTTACATATTGAGATGATATGCAGCTACATTAGTCTTCCCAGAGACGGGGGATATTCAGAAGAAGATTTTTCTACTAACACATACAGGATGTTACAAACTGCATACACAGTATAGCCAACAATAAATGATGAAGTGCACAGTCTCATCTGCTCAACCACATGGTGTCTGTGCATGTAGTTTAGCATTTATTGTTCTTTTAAATCTTTGTGGGGCTTTATACAGTCCAAACTCATGCCTCTTATTTAGGATGTGTACCATCACAGCACTGTTTTCATCAAGTAAAGGAGGGTTTGGTGTTTTATCCTGTATCAGACTGTGTGTTATCTGGGTGTGGTGGGAACATAGTGCAGTGTGCAAGTAAACAAAATCCTTGTATGTGCTTGCTTTGGGTTTTTTTTTTTTTTTTTTTTTGTCTCATTGTCTCACTTCTTTGCTCAGTTTGTTCTTTCCCTCTTGGCCTTCTCTACTCTCCACTCTCTTTCCTCCTCCCTGTCACCAGACTTGTTCTCCCTCTTTCTGCCCTCTCCCTGTCTGCCTGTGGCCCAGCTCCAGCTGTGCCTGGGAAAAGCTGACCGCGGTATCCCCGGAAAACCTCTCTGAGACTGGAGCGAGAAGAGGCCGGTGGAATAACTCAGCACATTTACTGCACAGTAGACATTTTGGGTTTTCTTGTACTGTGAAGGAATAAGGCTGATGATACTATATACTTTTCATTGTCAACAATTTTCAATATATTAAGCCTGTGTTAATTACTTTTCTGTTTCCCTGTATTTTCTGTGACACTCAAACCCCATGTGCTGCTGCTGAAGTTATAAATCTTTAAAAGTATTAAAGTCATTTTCGAAATCAGCTGGGCACTGTAAGCTTTATCAATCTGGAGAAAAGCAGGAGCAGACTGTGCATTTTTAGGAACTGATTTTCAGCCATATTTCCACAAACCACTTATTCTCACAACTGTGGCAATTCTGACTGTGGCTCATATTAACTTTGCACCTCTGTTTGAGGGATTCAGGAAACTTGATTCCACTAAAATATCGTGTGCTGGGACAAACAACACAAGCCCCCTAGTCAGTAATGCTGCAATTACAAAAGAAAGATCCAGGCTGAAAAAGACAAATACCGTTCTCTAATACACATGTTTATGTACTAATCAACAAGACTGTGCATGTGGCGTGACTCAAAATACACCACTGTAGCCCATGTGAGTGTTCATTGATGTGTTTTAAAGGTTTCTGGACAACAGCGGAGCTCTATGGCACTGAGGAATAAGTTACATCAGCCTTTGGTTACATAGACCGTACTTGTTCGGTCAGCTGGTGGTTTTGGTCTTTTCATAGGCTTTGATGACAAGAAGAAAAATACTGAATATCCTTTTAAGCCAGAATTATGCCTGCAGGCCTCTGGAGCTGTAGCATGCTAGCTTTATCATGGAGCGAGTCCAGATAAGACAAGGCAGGCTGACCCAGAGCTGTGCACTAACATCGCTTCCAAACACACGTACACAATGTTAAGTGAGATGGAGACGGAAGTGGTCTCTGTCTGACTCCAGATTGTTTTGTCACTGATAAATGTGTAACGAGGTAAAAGGTCAAACTTCCAGCTCTGAGCAGACAGTATACTGCTGTGTTATTTCCTATAAGTATAAATAAGCTAGCCACCACAGTTAACACAAGTGTAATGACAACGAGAACAGCTGGTGATGCTGATGCTGTGAGGCATTTACTATGTTGACAGTGTGGTTGGTGATCATTCATGACAATCTGTGGGACCATTAACTGTCATTAAAAGCCTGTTGGGCCCTTCGCAGCCTATCTGTAGACACTTCTAGGACCAAGTGGTTCTCCAGCAGCTGTACTATTCACAAATTGTTGTTAGTCTGCTGTTGTTGTCTGGGGAAACAAAACAAAGAATCTTCTAAACGTGAGCTTCCAGGTATCCCATGTTACTCTTTGTGGATGTCTGAATGAAATAATTTACCATTTTAATCATCCTGTAAAGCTAGTTTGGACAGGATTAATTGTTTTACATATAATATGCTTCTCTCATTTGCTTAAATTACACAAATTCACCACAACACTGACAAGCTGTTATTTCCCCAAATAACAAAATATGAATTTGCCCTGTTTAACATAAACTTGTCCCATCTGGCATGAAATCGTCCTAAAATTTGTTTATTGAAAATTACAAGATAAGACACAGGTGTGTGAAACACTATTTAGGGACAGTGGTAGTTTGAGCTAAATGCTAACATCAGTATGCTATGTATTCTCATACAAAGATAGCATTTGCACATTCACCATCTTAGCTTAGCTTGTTAGCATGCTAACATTTGCTAATTAGAACAAAAAGTATATCTGATTCTAATCTGAGGACAATGAGAAAGCCATTAGTTTTGTATTCGCTCAAAATATGAATATGAAATTTTGTCGGGGATCGTCATAGCCAATAAGACTCCCTATCTGAATGTCTGTATCATGAATGTTTGTACCAAATATTTTGTCAGAAACGTTTTTGCCTTTGTTTTTGAGATATTTCAGTCTGGATGAAGGTGGGTGACCGGCAGGCAGATATTGCCATATCTCTAGCATGGCTCAAAATGATCTCTGCAAAGTCCTGCTGCTTTATTTTTATCTATTCAGTGCAACTTGATATGCAGCAGAAAGAAAAGAAAATCTACCATTCACTGATGTGTGCAGCCACCTGCTTTTGATCATTATGTGCTAATATACAGTGGGTATGGAAAGTATTCAGACCCCCTTAAATTTTTCACTCTTTGTTATATTGCAGCCATATGCTAAAATCATTTAAGTTCATTTTTTTCCTCATTAATGTACACACAGCACCCCATATTGACAGAAAAACACAGAATTTGACATTTTTGCAGATTTATTAAAAAAGAAAAACTGAAATATCACATGGTCATAAGTATTCAGACCCTTTGCT